TATTGGCAATTTTATCATGCAATGTCCCTCATGCCTGGCCTCTTTTATGACTTTTTATTGGAAAAAAGTCCCCATGTCAAGGTGTCCGGATGTGGGGGTCTCACTGTTCAGTATATGTAATAGGGATAAAAATTCAGTAATATTGTTGCTTTCGAAGAGTACAATTTCATAGCTGTCTGAATTTTCCTTGGAACTTATGTAACTCTAATGTTTTCCCCCGTCCCCTCAAGCCTCTAACACTAAATGTTTCTGGAGACATTTTGAATATTATTTTTGTGGGCCAAGAAAGGGAAAAGCATTAAAAAATGTAACTTGACGCTTTTTGAAAAATAAGTGGAAGAAGTATTGTGCAAATTAGGCCTTGTTTCCAACTTCAGCATCAACCTGAAAATCCTGTGCAAGGCATTTTTTGGGCCAAAAAGAACAATACTAATTTAAAGTTTCTTCAATAATTTTTTTCAAATGGCAGAAATGTTAGTTTCCCTAACTCAAAATCTCCCTCAGCCAATTTTTTTGCCTTGTCCTTCGGAATTTGATGATGTCAGAAAGAGGTTCAAATATGATGGCATTCATTATGAACATGCATATAGTAAATACAGAATGTAATTTTTTTTACAATCAGCGGGAATTTTAGCCACGACAACAAGAGCAGTAGCCAGTGACTCAGTTCTCATTGACCTGACAAAGGGCTCGGTTCGTGGCTACGACAGCAGAATCCAGTTCCTGCAGAAACCCTCGTGGCCCAAGAACAGCACTTTGGCGCAACCCAAGTGTGCGCATCAGGCCTTGATTAAAGTCAGCCTGGGCAAGCGAGAGCGATTAATCAGGCTGCAGCTGCAATTCAAACGATCCTCGTTATGGAGTTTTCATTTGAGCGATTCTCTGAGGGCCAGAGGCTCCTTGAGGTACGTTTTGGGGGACAGTGAAGCGCCGTACACGGAAGTCTGGTTGTACAATGGGCTCCTGAACGTGTTGGGGGACAATGAGTACCGATCTGCCACGAGAGACGTCCCGAAAAAAGTAAGCATACTGTATATATATTTGAGAACTGTGGGAATGTTTTTTTTTTCAATCAAAAGCTCTTTGTGATGAGGGGGTTTATTGCATTCTGATTCAGATTTTGTCACAAAAAAAATGTAGACACCCCGCAAGTATTCCTGCTACTGACATCAGTGAACTTTAGGTATAGTGTACTGAAGGGGATGTAAACAACCAAATAATATTATTTAAAAAATGTCTTGTTACAACATTTTTTTGAGTGTTTCCAGCAACTTTTCTGCACATTTGCAGAAAGGGATGTTAACACTACTGTTGCAAATTTTCTGAGTCACTTCTGCAGAAACAAGCATATCAAATTTAATCACCAGCCTCGAGCTGACAGAAAGTAATTTTTCATGTCACTCTATTCCTAAAAATTGAACCTAATCCTCAAAGAGAATACGCCAAATGGCGCCTTTAGAAATTTAAGCAATAAACAGAGACAAGTTTTGGCAATTGCCAAAACTTGTCCTTGGATCCTTCCATGGGAATCGGGTTTTGCGCCCGTTCTCACAAGAACCAAAAACAGACCTTTAGTCCTTGAAATCTTGAAAGAAAACCCGTAACTGTATCCCTATTGGCAGAAGCTGTAATCTAGCCCAAAATCATGGTGGAAAATTTCCACAAGAACCCTTTTTTCCTGAGGAAATGACTCAGGATTTTCTACCACTATCCCTTGAACCATCTTACTGTGCGGAGCAAAAAGTACTTGGCAAATCTTTTTGGAAAACTGTTTGACAAAACTTGTGATTGTGAATACAACGCTTTAAAATAGGGTGTTCTTGAGCACCCCAGTTGTAGCCCAACCAATTCTCGTGTTATATTTTAATTCTTACTTTTGTGAAATATTTCTACATCCAAATCTCCGTGACAACTACCAAAAGTGTTTCAAATTGCTTCTTTAGGTATACTGTACTGAAGGGGATGTATAAAACCAAATAATATCTCTTCAAAAGTGTCTTGTTACAACTGAATTGTCAGGCTACAGCTGGGGTGCTTGACACCCTAGTTTGAAGTTGGTATATTTGACAAAAGCAAGGATTTCAAAGCAATCAATTGCAAATGAGAGTTTTGATGTCTTTTGCGTGAGACTGCCAAAAAATGACTTACGCTGATAATCAGGAAGTTCTAACAGTGAAAAACCTTTCTCACTGAAATTTTGTCCCTGAGGAACTGACTATTCCTAGTAAATCCCAAGGATATTGGAAAACCTCTTGAGAACTTGAGGTCAAACTCAGTCCCATGAAATTCCTGAAGGATTAAGTTTTCTTCAGAAGCTTAAACTATACATCTTCTCACAAAATCATACAGTATTTTTAAATTCCAAGACTAACCCATCTGTATTTCAAATTTCCATCATCCTCTGCCATTGTGCCCCCCGCTGAATAATGATTTGAACGTGTTTTGAACCGCTGGGAAATCGTTTCCTCATCATGTGCAGAAACTCGACCTGAATCCATTGCAAATTTTCGGCGAGCCGGTTGCCAAACCGCGGCGGTTCCGGCGCCGCCGCACGTCTGGCCGCCGCCGTAAATCCTCGTCCACGCCGCACCGCCCCAAGCGGAAGTTGAAACTCGTGGCCGGAAAGCATTTCCTGTCTTGGAAGGGCGAGGATTTCCAGGACTATTTGCCTCATCCGAGTCTCTTCACGTTCCGGTCTGCGGACAACGAGGTCCCGGTTCGGATAACTCGAACGGAAGCCAGCGAAGACCCGATTTTCGGGAACCTGCAACACGAACCCGGAACCCACGAAGACGGGGACGAAGAAGAAGTCGTTTACATCGGGCTCAACCGGGTCGTGGACTCGAGCGTGAATCGCTCGGGTTCCGGATTGTGCAAGGTGATGATTTCGCTGTCCAAGCCTCGTGGTGAGTCGATAATTTTGGTGTTGTTGTCTTTATACACGCTACAACGATGCAACGAACATGCAAGAAATTCCCACAGAAAAAAAAATCTCAATTTATATCCCCAAAGAAAAAAAGGTTTCATCTATATACTATATTTTAAAAACCAAGGCTAGCCTCGATTTATGCGTCTCCTGTGAGGAACTCAGGACTTCAAATTATGATTGCAACTCTCATTCATTCACAGCTCCACCCTGATGTGTCTGAGGACAGTAAGCTACGAAAAATAAAAAAATTAAGTTCCATATACTAAATCACTCAGTACTTAAAGTACTGAAAGATAACATATAGAGTTTGTAGACAAAGCAGCCTAACTGAAATTCTGCGCGGTGCCGAAGGGCTGAAACATAACGCATACTCTTGGAAAATATTGACGATTTTTTCACTGCTGAAAACAGGTGTATAGTCCAAAACCTCCCTGCCAAAAGCCCCCTAGGTCAAAAGCCCCCCTGCAAAAAGCACCCATTAATGGTGAAATTGGGGATTACAGGTATTCTTGTAATTCTTGATAGTAAGCTGCACCTTTCACCAGCAGGCCCAGCACAAGGCCAAGTACCAATATGTTTGTAAGTTGAGTATATAAAGGGTTTTCTCACCTGCAGTGGTCATCAGGGATTCTTTGAATGTCTAAGCATAATCACTTGCTGACTTCTGCAAAATCTACAGTTCACATTGTTGATGCAATGGCTGGTGCACTTCAGATCATCAAAAATCAGAAGGGTGGTCAAAAGGCACACTACAATGGCTATTTATCCATGGTTAAGAACACAAATGCCAGTACTAGGTGCTGGAAATGTGCTAATGAAGAAGGAGATGAGATAATAGGGCCACATCCAGAAGAAAATGAGATTTAGAGCATCAGCGACACTGAGGAAGAGGCAGCAGAAGGCAATTTTGAAGATGATTATTCAACAGTCATTTTGAGGACTAATGAAGCTAAGTGGCCTTTCTCAGGGCCACCAGACACTGTTATGAAACTTGCATCCAATCAAGTAGTAGAGCGTCCGCAGTGATGGACAAAAAAACGAGATAATAATTAATAAACAATTGCAGAAGTGGCATTTGAACCCACGCCTGCAGAACCAGACTGTGACCTGAACACAGCGCCTTAGACCGCTTGGCCATCCTGACAACTTAATGTACTGGATGTGTTTTTTTTATCTAAGAAACAAACAGTGAACAAACAGGCCACAGACACACGCTACACGACGTCCTTATTATTCCCCCCAGACCCCTGTAGGATCCTACTGGTTGTTCCTCAGACTGCGGATGTTAAACAAAAGTGGGGGGGGGCTTTTGGTTGGGTACCACTGAAAACGGGGTAATTTTTATGAAAAGATGGGAAAAATTCCATAAAAGATGAGATTCTCATTTCTGAAATTAATGAAAAATGAACCGTTTACATTAAACGAATTGAAACATATATGAACAAAAATATATTTGTGCCGCCATGAATGCCAGGAATTTCCCTGGAATTTTAAAATTTGTTCAATGTTGCATCGTCGCTTCATCGCCTCCGAAATTTTGAAAGTGACGTAACATACTGTATACTTGACTTGTTCACTTCGTTAGGAACCATTTTCCCGTCATATACACATTCACTGATGGATTCGTTGATGAATGTTTTAGCTTCTCATGACATGAGGTCTTGGATTCTGAGCACGTAGTGGCACTTGTCGGTTTCGTAACGCATGCGCAGACTTTTATTCGCTGGCCTTGGGGCGAAAAGTGCCTCGAGTCTTCGAGAAAAATGGAGGAACCGAAGCTGAAATGACAAAAAAATTACGAGAAGGACAACTGGACTTACTCCAAAAAAGCACACATTTTTATATTTTTCCACTTTGGGACCTTCCGAATGGAGAACAATTTAATTTGCGCCCGCGTTTTCGTTGTTTTATATTTTCGATTTTCATAATGCGATTCATTTAAATTCTGAGGAAGAGGATATGATATTTATGGGCTGGGTTGGTCAAGACAATAGGCTGATCGCATTAATTCATACGAAATCAGTCAGACATTCCGTAAAGTATCGTCGATGATTGAATACGGTTGAGGAAAAGCAAAAAAATTATTTCATCTTGTTGACGTCAGGCGAGAATTCTATCTTGAAAAATGTACTATTCGACCCAAAAATCCTCCGAAAAACAACACGGTTTTCGCTCACGGAAAAAAATGCTTTCGGGAGAAACAATTGTTCATTGCAGGACATAATTTCTAAAAAAAAAAAAGAGCACCTATATAGTAACAATGATGCAGAAAATGTCAAGTTCATACTTGATTCAAAAGGATGTTCCAAGATTGTATCTGAAATACTTCAAAAGTGCTCTGGATATTTTTGTTTGAAGAATATTGCTCTTCCCTTCGGCAACCAGCACCCGAACCCTACGGAATACCGATTAATATAAGTTTTAGTAAAACAAATTTCGGAATGAAATATATTTCATAACGAATTGTCAAAATTCCAAGCTCTGATGGTCCGTTTTTATCGAGTTCACATTTATTCTCGCTTGTTAAGAGAAGAGGGGGAAATTTTGTGAAGCAACATTCTTGCCGGGATAAGCAGCATTTCTGGAAGACCCGATTTATTCATGACTGATCCGCCGGCACGAGAACTGACGAAAACCTGTAGGTGAACCCGGTTTCCTCGCCTACAAATTCGGGGCGATCCCGAATAAATCGAACCAGATATTCCGCAGTGATTAAACAAGATTCAATGTTTTGACTTCGACGCAAAGGCATCAATAATCTGAGTCATTCTCCTTTGTGCTGTAGTAGAAAAGGCGCCCAACGAAAGTTCTGAGTTCGCGAAGGGGTCCAAATTTGAAAGAAAAAAAAATCGAGTATTGTACAGGACATCTATACGAGTTTTTCACATCTTTCATTACAAGATTTCTTCACGAGACTATTCAAAGAAAACTGTGTTTGTGTCAGGATTATATTTAAAGGCATTAATAATGCGATTAATTCCCATTAAAATTAGGAAATTTTACATCGATCCATTCTGCATTGTTCCAAGAAAAAGACGCTCATGAGACTGTGTTTTTCTGTTTATTACATTTTTAAAATCTCCAGAAAATAAATATTTCATCTGAAACGTGAAAATTAATAAAAAATTCGAATACATCGTGAAAATTGCGCCAGTTTTTAAGTGCCAATATTTTGAGAACGAATGGAAGCGCCTTTTTCAAAACCAAGCTTATTCAAGTTTATTAAATTGAATTTCCTAAAAATTTGATTGAATGACGCCAGCTGCCTCGGTGAATTGATGAAGTTCTTAAAAATTAACTGAGGAACATTGTTTCATGTTTGAATTCAAATGCTTGCATTGATTCTGAAAATATTTGAAAGTTGAGAAGCTTTTTGAACACCGGGGGTTTTCAAACAAAATTGATGCGTTCAAAGTACAGTATGCGAACAGTTTTAACATTTAGTTTCTAGTATAAATATATTCAGAAAATATCGCCATTTAACTCTACATGGACTTATGTTGATCCACCCTGAAAAAAAAAACTGAGTGTGTCAATGAAAAATTATCGGAAAATTTTCGAAAGAGATTGCGATGAAAAAAAATCCAAAGAAATCAACCTGCACCCCGAAAATTAGTCGAACTCACAATTTAATATTTTTACTGCGTGAAGTTACGCACATTTTTAGAGCTCAAAAATAAGTTGAACTGCATTCCTCAAGTGTCGAATCACCAGCATAGGCTTATTGTTATGAATATTGAATTTAAAATTATTTTTGTATTCAGACTTTCAATTTCTTCATTTTCTTCGGAATTTCCCAAGTACATCGTCAATCTTTACAGCGGCTATAAATTGAGTACAAAGCGGCTATAAGGCAATTATTTTGTTGCACGGAATAATAATGACTTTTTCGTGTTCCTGCGGGTGTATATAAACGAAGGGAAGGAGATCACGCATGCAGAAACAACTTCGTGTTGCTGTGGGGGACAATTGAATTCGTGATTTGTTGAACGAGAATTCACAGAGCAAAGGACAAGTGTAATTTCGTCCATCGCGGAAATAATAAAATACTTCCCTTTCATTGCTGAATGCTAAAACTTTCGGACATTGACTGGTCATGTCTGCAACTTCGAATATACAGCTCTCGATTTCCGGGACTATATAGACTTCGTCCGGAAACAATCACGTATAACTCCGGAATTGTAAATTCATTGGCTCGAAATTACGTTTGACTTCATTATCATGCTTCACTGTTCGTGAAACAGTTTCAATAATGGATTATTCAAAGGTCTAATCAGAGCCAAATTTGATCGCTTTCAGATGATTGCTCTGGACAGCAAAACGATTGCGGACCGAATGCGATTTGCAAACGAGCCACAAAAGATAAGCAAGTGTGTATTTGCAAACCAGGCTGGCAAAGAAACGGAAAAACTTGCACTGGTAAGTATACACTGATGATTCAATACTATGGTGATATTTCCCGAAAAGAAAAAAAAATCACCAGACGACCTTTCGGAACTGTTTACAAAGATTTCAGTAATCCGAAAGTTCAATTTATCAGGTTTTCAAACATTTCAAGGCTCTGACAAAAGATCAAATGAGACTAAAGAAACTCGAGAACCAAACATTGAAGAATATTCTTCGAAAATAATTTTGAAAAACTCCCTTTTATGAAGGTGGAATTTTTTTCGACAAAGAATTAATAACCAATGGTAACCATTAATTTATTTTGATTGCTGCGCGAAAAAAAAATCAGAAATCAAGTGAGAATCAGTTATGGGCTGCAGATAATAAGTTAATGATGTACGAGGGGTCAAACAAAAGTTCTCAGGATAGAAATTGAAACGGCATAAAATTTGACTACATGAAAATTATTGTTTAAAAACTTTCTTTGGCGCCATAAAAATATGGAGCCCTGTTTGACAAAATTTTTTAATGAAAAGCAGAAAGCTGACCGGGTGACATTTGAAAAAAATATGTCAAACAGAGCTGCATTTTTTCTGTACCAAAGAATGCTTTCCAAACAATAATTGTTTTTAGCTCAATTTTATGCCGTTTCAAATTAGATCCCAAAAACGTTTGTTATTTGACTACTCAATAATTTTTGCGCCATCTTTTTTTTTGCACTGCTTGACGAGACGGGAATTCGTATTGCAATTTTTCAGCAAGACCCCATACGAAGAAAGAAAGCCTTCTCTGCGATTAAATCATGTCTATTCGGATGAACATATTTTGACAGATTATGACGAGTGCCAGATTCAAAATGGCGGCTGTGTTCATCATTGTCTCAATTATGAGGGCAATTTCACGTGCGGGTGTCGCGAGGGTTTCGCCGTTCCTCCAACTGTGTCGACATTGACGAGTGCTCGAATAACCCCAAGCAACGTCACGGATGCGAATACGAATGCATCAACACGATTGGCAGCTACGAGTGTTCTTGCCCCGAGGGGTTCAATCTCTCTCCAGATGGACGACATTGCACAGGTTGAGTGATTTCAAATTTCGAAAAAATTTAACCATTTTTGTTTTGAGTGATAAGTATATGGAAAAGAAAAATGGCAAGAAGTACGCAGACTATTGTTATATTTCATTTCGTTGTGTCCAGAAACTCACTATGATGTGCATGGATAAAGGTGACTGACAGTGACATAATATTTGAATGCTTTTCTCAACAGGATTTCCCCGTGGAATCAAAAATAGCTTTTCATTTAATCTTAATCTGGAAGTCGCTGAAATCACCGCGTCGTGACATTGAGGGAAGCAAAATGCATGCAAAAAATAATTTAATCCTATATATGCATGGTAACCTTGAGACCAGCTTTTTAAATCATGGATACAATTCTGTGTATTTTACGAATATTTCGAGTAATTCCAGCATTTATTCAGGACAGATTCTGCAGCTAGTTGCTGCCTAATTTATGAATACAGGTGGACTCGCCATACGAAAATCTTGTCTTCGACGATTTTTTCTGCGTAAAAAAAAAACTGTTTTTGTCCCATGGGATTTTCTCCCCATGTTATATAGGTTCTCTAATACGAAATTCTCTCTACAACTAATTCTTCTGGTCCCTTAAAATTTTATTGTTGAAGAGAGTTCCCCTGTGTTATGGTCCTTATAGAAAATGACTCCGAAAGCAATTCACGCGCTGTTGCATTCAACTATTGGTGCTTTTACCAAGGAATTCGTATTTTACCTCCTCTGACCTCTTTTGACGAAGTCTCTGCATAGTTAATTGATTTCTTTAAAAGAAATTGTGTTTCATATAATTCCCGGAATTTTTTATATATCAGAGATGGACGCAGAGTGCGAAGAGCTGAACTGCGCCCACACCTGCGTCACTGGCAAGAACCACGTCAACGGAACCCAGTCCCAGCACCAACCCTTCATGAGTGCTCTGAATGACGACCCATCAGCATCGCCGAATCACGGAAGCATCATCGATCAATTCCCGCACCAGCAATCGTCATCAACGACTCAACGCGGGTTCACGACGGCTGTCGCTGCAGCGACAGCGAGTTTGAGCAACTCCTCGTTGTCGGTGTCGGCGAAGAAGCGGTGTCGATGTTTGTCGGGGTTCTTCCCGAATCCGCCGGATTTCAGGACGTGTCGACGCACTTGTGCCATCGGCAACGGCGGCTGTCAACACTATTGCAGGGACAGTCGACGAGGACCCGTTTGTTCGTGTCACTCGAATTATGTTCTGTCGAGCGTCGACAACGCCACTTGCCTCGGTGAGTAACACTTATTTAATAAACATTTTTCCACGTCCTTTTTTTTCATCAACATACTTGCATTTATTTAATAATCATATACTGTATATATATAAATCGTGAGCGAAGTTTTCGAAATAAAAGTAACGATGGAGGTCGACACTCTCTTCATAACAAAATTAAAGGGTCGGAAAAAAATATTTGTTGGGAGAATTAATTTTATTTCTTTTGCGAATTCCTGAAACCTGGGTAGAGAACCCTATTGGACCAAATAAAAATCCGTTAACAAAAGAGAATCGTTGTAAGTAAGATCGTCGTATAGAAAGTGTTCATCTGAATTATTGCATGCGGGTTTTATTTTTAGAAGCAGTGCATTAGACGATTTTTGACCTGATTTTCGAGGGAACTCGATGACCTGCTGAGCGAATATCATATTTATTTTAATTACGTGTACGAAGAGTGACTAAAGTTTAATAATAAAAAAAATCCTAGCGGAACTCTTCTTTTCGGAGTATTCTGAGTGTGAATCTTGTTTTATATTTTTTTTTATGGAGGTTTTTGGGGAGACCGAGCTGGTGATTGAAAAGATACAGCATCGTAATCAATAATTCTGAAAATTAAATGAAAGAGAAAAGTTTCTCATTCATCGGCTTTTCTCTCTCTCTCATATTGTAATGCTGTGAAGGTAAATTATTTTTCCATCAGTTATTTGTCCGGGGAAATTATTGTGATGTCAAGGAAATAAAATAGTTTCCTTCTTCCAGGTAAGAGTACGGGTTGAATTTCGTATATCATTTTTTCAGAAACCCTTCAATTTATGTTTATTATTTCGTATCTTTTTCCGTTTTGAATATCTCACATCGCAATATGTTTCCCCACCTCAGACGACGAATCATTCAATCCCAATAAATCCTCAATTTGAATGTGCTTCGCCATGATTCCAAAAAGTGCGACGAATCTCTCCTTTCCTGAAATCACTTGTAACAACTTAGTATCAACTGATTCTCAAGTAATCACGATGTAAGAAAATTTGTACGAAAATACGCTGTCAAATGTTTATCGATGTCGGTGAAAATAATGTGTTCTTTAAAGTTAGCATTAATATTTTAGTCCAGATTTGCATGAATAATTCCAGTTTAAGAGGATAATCGTGTTTGTTTCTCCTGACAACAAACTTCCTGATTTATTAGAACAGTGTTTTCAAAAGGATGATTTTCTCGTGAATAGAATTTCATTCAGTTATCATGATTTTATACCGATAACTCGAAATGTGTTTTAAAAAAACGAAGAACTTTGGCACGCAATTGGCAGCTGATTTACGGGAATCAATTGAATAAACTCCGTTTATTTTCGGAGGAAACACGGTGCACTGAAGTGCAAATAAAATCTAGGAGTCTGGCCGAACCGCGTGATATTTTCGGAAGGTGTTGAAATACGCACGTCGATGAAAAGCGGAACGACACCAAATACGAAAAAATAAAATCCATATTTTAAATTAGGAACGCAAGGAAAGAATCAGACTGCCGCAGGTCTTTTTATTTGCTCAAGTTCTTATTTTCCAAGGAGGGGGAAACAAAGCAAAGTGCTTCAAGCGTTCGTGACTAGAAAGCCGCTCTTAAAATTTCCGGGCTCGTGAGTTCGCATATTAATGACTTGCCGATCGGATATTACAACAAGATGGCAATAAATTTTTGTTATAAAACAATTGCTCCTTATTTCTTTCATTTCCTATTTATTACACTAGTACGTTATTCTTTTTGAGTTATCGAACTAGATGATGATGAGGTCAGTGTGTAGCTTAGTTATTCTTCTGTGTTTTCATCAAGTACAAATTAACTTTTTATAGGCATTGAATCGCTTCCGTTATGTCTATCGCTCCTTTTCCCCCACTGACCTACATTTTCGAGATTGAAATACTGTACTAATGATGTTCTTTTTGAAAAAAATTTTCTCGTGCTTTCTCTCTCTCTCTCTCTCTCTGTCCCCGTCTTTTTTCTTAGCAACCTGTGGAGTGAACAATGGCGGCTGCAAAGAACTTTGCACGCAAACTGACCGAGGATCCGTTTGTTCTTGTCCTGCAGGATTCGAACTGGATATTGACGGCAAGTCTTGCAAAGGTCAGTCTTTAAAAATTCAAAAGCTGTCATTTGTGATTGATGCAAAATGTTCCTTGATTATACTCAGCTTTTGTGGACAGGCGTTCGCTAAATTTTTTCTGCAATCCCGAGATTCCACTCCCGGAATTCATGCAAAAATAATGATGATGAATCGATTTTTTTTTTCGTGTAAATGATTGTGAGCATTTTTATCAATTCGATTCTACCGATTACCAATAATAGTGATTCCAGAAAGAAAAGGGCTATAGAAAAGCATTTGGGTCAAACTTGCATGCACTCAAGTCTAGATAAAAACTTTTTAAATATCTTCCAGAAAATGATTTTAATTTTGATGCATGTATTCTTATCATCGCCTCTATGTAGATTAATTTTCCCAATAAAAACCAATGATTTTTAAAATATCATAAACTTGATATTTCTTCTTCATAGCGCTAAGAAAGAAAACGGGTCAGAAAAGGATTTCGGGGTGTGCCAATATATCGAATGCATTCAAGTCTACTTTGAAGTTGTTCCGTCACACTTTTAATTAAATAAAAATAAATTCATTTTTATCACCATCTGCGCTTTTCACGGTGAAGATTTAATAATTTTTAAAATACATTACTGTACCATGATAAAATTAAGTCTTTATTCTTTAGCGCTTGTCCCCGGCGGACAGGCTGCGATGCGTGGACGTGGACGAGTGCTCTGTGGACTCGGGTGCTTGTCAGTTCCATTGCCACAACACAGTTGGCTCGTATTCGTGCTCTTGTCCAAAGGGGTTTCAACTATTTGGCGGACACCGTTGTGGAGGTTAGTTTCTGTTTAATCCATTTGCGAGAAATTACCGTACGACTCGAGTATACCAGCAGCACGCGCCCTCAAGTGCGACGCGTACTTTAGTTTCTCTTTAGGGTGTGGGATTTCCCCAAAAAGTATATCTTGTGTATATCAAAGTGTAGGGGAACCTCTTCGAGGTTCACTCAAAAGACCAGTGAAGGTTAATTATTCTGCTTAACCTCATTACTTTCTCAAATGGGATGGAGAATCTTGCTCCAGACCAAAAGAAACAGAATAAATTTGTAACCCCTATTACTATCTCTAAATCAAACGTGCACACTCATTTTTGTATGCATTCCATATCAAACTTCTTTCCCAAAAAATAATGTTAAATAAAATTATCTCTTGAATAAAATTTCATCAATATATAGAACATTTTAAAAGGATTTGTGCCAAACAGAATTGTCCTTTTATCATTTCCCCTCTCTATATACAGAGGCTCACTTGCAGTTTGCATCTCTGGAATCATTGAAAAACATCATCAAGTAAATTTGTTCTTTAAAACATTTTATTGATGTGCATACCACACACAACCCCACTTTTCTGACTTTATTTTGCAGAAATATGTGCCTGTTGTACTTTACAGTACTGTACTTGGGTGAATACGTTACCTACAAAAGGATAAGACAAGTGTAAAATCTAACATATACTCTGCTGATGAACAAGTAAACAGTTAGATTCTTTGTAGAAACTGTTTGAGAATAGGAATATATCAAGTTCAAGGGGTAAAGTGATGATTGCCAAGTCCAAGTGAGAATTGTCCTGTACACTGTATTGTAAGACATATAAGAGTTCATCTTATCTGCCTAAAATCTCAATTGTGATGGACTCTTTTTCCTAGTTTACCTTCTTGCTTGGAGCTTCTCATTCTACTTTATCTTGATTGAAAAAATTACAAGAAAAAAATCAAATTTAATATGAGGCAAGAAATTAATGACTTGAGAAAGACCACATAGTTTTATCTGATTTTCGATCTAATTACGGTAATGTGAATCTGAATGAAGAAAGAAATCGTCGCACATTTTTGTTTTGCTCCGTGCGTGTAAATGTCACAAGGAAATAATGTTTGACCTTTGCCCTCGGGGGTTTGCGGAAGTCCATTTCCTTTTGACACCCGTGGTGACGCGTCGGGTTGCTCTAATGCATGTAGAGGGTCTCCCAACAAACAAAAAAACAACACTGACGTTTACAGAAATATGAAAAAAATGAGTAGAAATTATTAGACACTCAAAAAGGCCATTCGTGATGCTCAAAACCATTTTTCGTCTCTCACGATATCGATGAGTTTTTACTCCAGGTAGAGTTTAAACTTTCAAATTACAGTCTTGAATTAATACAATCATCATAATTTGAACACCGAATAATCCAGTGAATGTTGAAAGAATGAATAAATCATGGGAAAGGACAGGAATGGTTGACAGTGCATTTTTCCACTCCACGATGAAGACGAAAAGAGAAACACAGGCAGTGTTTTTTTTCTTGGTTGACTGTTGGGTGTACGTGGTAACTTTTTAACGTCAAAGATGACAAGGTTATGTGTAATTTCCGGCGACAATAATACTTTTCCCTGCTCGTGACAAGTGTGACAGTCACAAAAATGCGTCGGGCTTAGTATTTCCACATCTTCGCAAGCACCCGTAAAAATAATCCCGTGAAGCCACGTGGGGGTTCCGCCATTGACCTGCGCTATTTTGTTTTGTTTCGAAATACGGAATTTGAGCTTCGAAACTTATTTTCTGAGTGCGAGTTCATTCTTGAATCTATGATCAACAGTAAAATTCATTCCTCAAAGAGCTATGAAATTTATTAAATTAAAAATTCAATAAATTTGACGAGAGCCGCTTGTGAGTCGAAGCGCTATATTCTATAAGAACTCTAGATAAATCCAAAATGCAAAGCTCTGAGAAAATTTTGGTTGAATTTCTAATGCCGTTGTAAGTTTCGATGTAAGTCAAGATTTACCATAATTATACGAAAAGTTCGAAAGTTTTTGGCAATGTGACTGACGAGAATAACAAATTATGCAGCGGAGATTTCAGAGGCTGGATTTTCTTTCAAAAGGACTTTCACTTCACCGTCAGAAGATTTACTTTCAAAAAAATATAAAGACTAGATAGATTTAATAAATAGATTTATTTTCAAAACTTAACTTTCACTTGAAAGGGTATCCACAAAATCAGTAGATACGCACAATCAGGAAGATAATCTGTCTTACAAAGATATGATATATCTTTATCTTGATAAGATATAGTTGGCGGAATTTTTGAAATTTGATAAGTTTTGCAAAGAGAAATCACAAAAATTTATTTTTTCACCGTTTTTTTTTCTGTTTTACCCTATGAAAGTTATTTTTAGAACGCGGAAGGCGTGAGTTGACAAGTTGATTTCGAAAATGCGATCCGGCTATTTGCTGCATTTACACGTCTTCTGAAATCGTGTTCTGAAATCCACCTTGTTTCTTTTTTCTCTGTGGCAATCTTGGGTAGATTTCGACGAATGTTCCGTGAATAATGGAGGATGTGCGCAAATTTGTGTCAATCTCCCGGGAAAGCACGAATGCAAGTGTCGACCTGGATTCCGACTTCATCCGAATGAACGTGACTGCGTTGGTACGTTATTTCGTAATTTCGTCTCACTTTTCTTTTCATTTATGCCCACTGCCCTTGCAACACTTCAACAACTAAACTGCAGTGAATTTCCTGATGACTAAGAAAAAACTAATCCGTCCTTGATGCGGATTATGCGGGAATTTTGTAATGTGGAAGGCATTTTCCCTGATAAGGATACATGTGATCATTTAATCTGTTCCCGACACACCAAAATTACGTGAAAATCTTGAAAAGTGGTTAGTTTCCCCTTGTTTTCCGGCATCTGATTGTGAATTTAAAATTGATAAGAACAAAATAGAAGCATAATCCTGATATCGTATTGCTTCTAGCTTTTGTTTGAATTTCACAAAGTGTAAAACATGAAGATGTGAAATTATTTTTTAGGATTATCGATGAATGCTCAAGTTTGAATTCGAAACTTTTTTAAAATTTGCGCACTTTTGGTGTCAAAAATTTCGTTTTGTGAAAAAATTTCGTATTGTAAGTCTCGTTCAACACCCCCACCTCCCCCACCTGAATTTTTCGTTCTGCGGATTTTTGTTCTCTGGGTGTTTATTAATGCGGGGATTTGCCGCAAATTTCAAACTCAAGCTTTGAGATACATTTTCAGTAGTCGATTACGTAAGTGACTATAGATCAGCATCATAGTTTCCCGACGCTTTAAAATGTGAAAACTCTCAGCAAAACATTTTTCAAAGCAATCTGGTCTAAATCGCACAAAACTCAGAACAAGACATATAAACATGAAAAATTGGTACTTCTTTTGGTATAAAGAAGTTGACTGTTGTTGCAATAAGAACTTTAAACTAAAATCTCAGTATTTCGAGCATACACAAAACGTCTTTCACTTATTACTTTAATCAGATGCCACAATTTGCTTGCCATTGCCGACACCGAGCAAAGCCAACATGACGTGCTCCACCAGTTACGACGGATTCTACGAAGAGACGTGTCACGTCGAGTGCGTGTCGGTGACGGGATTCTTGCTGAGGTCCCTGTCGAATGCCCGAAGCACGACGTTGACGTGCGGTGCAAGAACCCGGTATCAATGGACCGACCCTGAGGGCAACGACGGTCTTCCCAGTGCTGCTTTCGGTTGTTCAGGTAAAATCTCAATATACCGACTTATATTTCAAAAATGGGCTTTTTGACTTATTCAACTTACGTATTTATTCGAAGAAAAGGCTCACTATAATCTGACTTGAAAATTGTAATTTTCGGAAATTTAATGAGTATTTTTTGAAATCATAAGAGGCTCTTTTTTTAAATGTGGCTTTTAAAATAGGGGGGGGGTGATTTTTCCGTGATAATTATATTAGTAGGATTTTTAATTTGATTTTTACTCCAAGATTTGGTTTGTAAGGAAGGACTAAGCCACAATCATTCTGAAATAGAAAATTAGGTTCTCCCGTTGTTTATGGTACTACCATCTGGCATCTGCAGTAGTTTCAGAAGGTCATAAGCTAATAATCTAGAAAATTAAAACCGTAAGGGTGATTCATACGTTTGTATGAACATATGAGATGTGAGCACTCTTTTCTTTTATAATAAAAAAGATTACCTGTTTTTACGATTAGAGGAGGCATTTTTCCGAAGAATTCTGCTAAAAAGCATGCAAATCTTACACTGTATCTACGTAAGAGAATATTACGTGTGTCTCATGATTGAACTTTATCTTTATCTTTTACTTTATCTTTTAATCCAAGAGGGCAACAAATACCATGATGGTAGACCGTAGACGTCATCAAAGTCTTCCAGTATTCGATTATTAGATCTTTTAATTTTGGCATTCCCACTAAGTATGCAAACATAC